AAAAAAAAAAAAAAGAAATGCTGCTTTGACTTTTTTTATAAAAGCCCTCTCCCCAAAATATTTTTGTTCAAGGGAAGTACAGTTCCATAAAATGACATAAGAATATTTAGAAAAGCTAAGCTACTTAAATATTTTATATATTCGGGCCAATTCTATCCTTTGGTTCACTTATTTTTATACATATTTTTTCCCTTTTAAAGGGTCACACAAATGTCAAACCAATTTTTAATAATTTTTTTCCTTTTTGAGTTGAGGTGATTTGCTTATTTTTTAAAATCAGAAATAAAATTATATGTTGTTGAGAAACAGCCAGAAAGATTAAAAGAAATTCTCCTCAGAAAAGAAACGGAATCCTTTGATTTGACTTCTTCGTATCACTTAAAGATTTATGTAAGTATAAAAATTTTAACTGGGTCTTTGAAACAGTATGTTTGCATGATTAAAATTCCTATCTAAGACTGTAGGAGTTTATTAACTTTTCCTTAATACACAGATATTTACTGATCTCTGTAGACTGAGGGGAACTTAAACATCTTAATAATATATAACAAAATCACAACTTTCTGGATACTCTATGTCTAAATAGCTCTGGAACTGGAATATCTTGAGGTGGGGGAAAAGTAGAGCATGGGGACTGGTGGAGCAGGGAGATTTGCAAATTCTTTTTGTTGAGTGACACCATAAGAACTGCTAAAAGACCTGAAGATTATATTCAATTTGTTATAATAGCCAAGTCTCCACAGGGGAAAAAAGACTGAATGAATGACAATGTTTATAAAAGATCAGCCTTGTCACACAAATGCTGGAGTGTGAGAGAAGCCAGCAGGAGACATGAGAGAAGAGAAACAACAGAACAGGAAAGCACACTTAAGGAATACCTGAGAGAGTAGCAAACACCAGGAAGCAGAAATGAGTTTGCAAAAGCCCAGTTAATACCCTCTGGGCTGTAAGTGCGTCACATGCAGATAACCAACCAAGACAGTCCACCCCCAGATGGCACATTTACTGGTTACAGAGTCATAGTAATAGATACGCCGTACTGAACACAGTACAGGCTGAGTATCCCTTATCCAAAATGCTCGGGACCAGAAGTGTTCCAGATTTTAGATTTTTTTTTTTCAGATTTCAGAACATTTGCATTACATGGGTTGAGCATGTGAAGGAGCTCAGGAAATTTCACCCCAAAATATGACTCCTTGGTATAAAGAGCCCTTAGAGATCAACAGGCTCTTGGAAGGGGCTTTCCCTCTATCTGCATAACCAGACAGACCCATCGAAAGTATAACTTCCCTGCTATCTCAATAAATTGCAGGAAAGATCAAGAACGCAACCAGTGACCCAAATAATTTTAAACATAATGCCTGTGTCTCAGGTTAATGTACAAGTCAATCTGTTTCCCCCATCCATTCATCCTCCCTAGCAACCATTTATTGTCCCTAACCAGAATTACCTATATTCCTCATCTCCCCTGACCCTCTAAAAGGAGGGGTATAAAAATTTCTGGACCGCATTGGGATATTGGGTAATCATTCTGTGATTCTCCCTCTGTATGCCTGAACTGTGAGTTGATCATTCAGAGAACTTTCAGGGGAAAGGGGAAGTTTTCCCCTCACCCCTACATATCCCTAATCCAAAAATCTGAAATCAGAAATGCACTGGATGTGACACTGAATCAAACAAAAAAATAAAAAATTAAAATAAATAAATAAATGCATTGGAGCATTTCCTTTGAGCATGATGTCAGCACTCAAAAAGTTTCAGATTTTGGATTTTCAACCTGTAATTTATACAGAATTAATAAGACAAAACAAGCAAAAAGCCTAGGATACATAAAGAAGAGAAGTGTTAAACAACAAAAAGCTGTACTAGCACTAAAAGATACTTGAAGGAAACAAGCACAGGGAGAGGACGGCCTAAATGACAGCCCTCATCGTCACTCTCTTTCTTCATAGGCACTCCAGAAGAGATGTAAGAGAATCAGGCCTACTGTGGTGTGAAATAATTTTAGAAGGTAAATTTGCCAGTTATCAAGGCATCTTCTCTAAAAACTAATTCAAAGCATATGGAGGCAGTGACCACTTGTCTGTCACGTCACATGAACATTTGCATTTGCATCCCCATTTTTAGTACCTCCAAATAATGATACGTGTAATGTTGAACTAATAAAGGTCATCAGGAAAGACACGTTTAGTAGACTATTGAAGAAATGAGGGACACTGTATATAAAATTCCACCTAAAAAACTTTCTACCACTTAAAGTGCTAATTTTCAGCTAAGAGGAAGACTTGCCAGCATGTCTGATGAATTCAGATCATCCACGTACCACTGTATGTTCCCAAAATTCCTCCAAAGCTCCCCTTTATTTATTTATTCAAAACTATTTCAGCTGGGCGCGGGGGCTCACGCCTGTAATCCTAGCACTCTGGGAGGCCGAGGTGGGAAGATTGCTTGAGGCAGGAGTTCGAGACCAGTCTGAGCAAGAGGGAGACCCTGTCTCTACCAAAAACAGAAAAAATTAGCCATGTGGGTGGCGCAAGCCTGTAGTCTCAGCTACTCAGAAGACTGAGGCAGGAGGATCACTTAAGACCAGAATTTTGAGGTTGTGGTCAGCTATGATGACACCACTGCACCCTAGCTTGGGAGACAGAGCAACATCCTGCCTCAAAAAAAAACCCCAGAAAACAAAAAAACTATTTTTCTAAATAGCAGTTATCTACTTTATAGTATAATACATTCTTGGAAGCTCCAAAATCAAATGTGGAAACTCGAACAGCAGACTTAAGGGGCTTTCGATCTTAACTAACTAAAAATGATTAGAAAGTCCTTAATTATATCTTGTAATCATTGGATATTTTATTGCATTTTGTCTTATTTTATTTTTAACAGGGAAAATAGAAAAACAGAAGTGGTGGTACTAATCATAATGTGAAAGGAACTAAGTGTCTCTGACTCAATACAGTAGGAGACCAAGATGGAAATATGTAGTTTTATTTGGATGCTCATTGGACATTAGCTGGTCAGCCATGTATCCCATTGAAAAAAAAATTAAACACTATGTATGAAATGCTGGACACAAATGGCTGCACAAACAGCACTATTGTACAGAAGACACTGTCAACACAAAGCAGAGCATTAGAATGCTGTTTTTTGTAACTGAATTTTAAAAGTTTTTTTTTTAACAACTTAATGTTCTTTTTGTTTTTTTTAATTTTCACTGACTTGTCCAAAATGTACACCAAAGTCTAAACTCAACACAGAAAAGAAAGGCACTTTGCAAGAGTCAGTGTATTCTCTAGGAAAAGTGTGGGTTCTATCAGCCAGTGCCAACACTTCACTGTAAAAAAGAAAAAAAGTCACACTTACCTCAAAAGGTACAATTATAGCATGTCATCAGCTCTTCAATAAAAACAGAATCTGCCTGTTAGGATTTATATCTAATTGTGGTGGGTGTAGGAGTAAAAGGCCTAGGCTGGAGAGGAGGGCAAAATAAATCTAGCCACTGAATCTTCTCATTCCTTTTAGAAAATTCCATTTTTAGATTTAGGGTTTTCAGATTTGCTTTGGCTGGCCTAAGAATTTTGGCATGGTGCTCTAAATCCAGCCAAGAACAATGAAGAAATACTGCATGCATAAAGCTAGGGAGGGTTAGTGTTCCAGGCTGAGAGAGAGAGCAGCATCAGATGCTCTGAGGCCCTGGAAAGGCAGGGTTTCAAAGGCAGAGATCAGCAGGAGAATCACAGATCAAGGATCAGCACAAACCTGCTGCCACTGCTACCCTGCAAACTCTCCAATAAAACTTTTAGCCAGACATCGATTCTAAGTTTGAGCTCCCTAAAACAATCACACTAAAACGCTAACCCTGAGGGATGAGAAAAACACATTAAGAAATGCACTTACTTATAGCTTCGAAAGTAAATCTTCCCACTCAGTGCAGTGAAGTGCAGAACATACTCTAATCCAGCCAGGCGGATATTTGGTACTGTGGGTCCTCTGAAAAAATCTAAAAGCACATATTAAGTTGTTTAAAAAAAAAAAAAAAAAAACTTTTAAAATTCAGTTACAAAAAAACAGCATTCTAACTGCTGACAAGATAGGTAGCACAAAAAATGATCTCTGAACAATGTCTGAAGGTCTCACCCCTCAACCATTTAATTTCGTGACTTTATTTCTGCATTCAGTTAACTGAAGTATGTAATTTTTCAGTTTTTGGGTTTTTTTTTGAGACAGAGTCTCGCTTTTTTTTCATTTAAAAGCATATAATTTGGTGGCTTTTAGTATATTCACAAGGTTGTATGTCTGAAGGTCTCACCCCTCAACCATTTAATTTCGTGACTTTATTTCTGCATTCAGTTAACTGAAGTATGTAATTTTTCAGTTTTTGGTTTTT